CGCGTCCCCCGTAGTGCCGCGCAGCAGATGCGCCACCCTTGCCCAGGGTCTTAGTGGGCCCTGGAAACGACAGGGCCGTTTTTTTATCGGTTCCGTTTTGCCGTTTTGTTTGCCGGTTCCGACGCCGTTGTTTTATCGGTTCCGTCGCCGTTCTTTTACGGGTTCCCGCTCCGGTTCCAATCCTGGAGCCGTTTCTGTTGCCGTTTCTGGTCGCCGTTTTTTTTGCCGTTTCCATTTTCAAGGGGCACTTTTTTGGAAACGGTGAAAAAACGGCCCTGCCGTTTCCGGGGCCCACCGAGCCCAGGGTCACTCCTGCGTGTAAGCGACGGAAGCAGAAGGGGTGGCAACGCTGCATCCTCGGAGGACCTCCCTCGTCTGTCCCCAGGACCGGTGCCCCTTCTGGTGCCCGACGCGGGCTCGAGGCTGGCTCAACGCGGATGCGGTGCGGACTCGACGCGGATTCGACAGGGATTCGGCTCGGGTTCGGCGAGTCCGACACGGATGGGGCTCGGATAGTTAGTCCCCCCGCCTTACTAAAGGTACAAAGTTGCAGTCGCTCTGCGCGGACCTCAGAGAGCCAGGAACCCTTCACTGTTAAGGTTGCAGGTGCCCCAGGGGCCCTCCGTTATAATGTTGCAGGTTTTGCTAAACATCGCTTTCACACTGGTTGGATGGTTGGAGCGTTTCCCTATTCTTCTTCTGTTGTGTCTCTCTCGCTCCCTCTCTTTGTGTTCTCTCTCTATCTCTCTCTCTCTCTCGCTCTCTCTCTCTCTCTCTCTCTTTCGCCCAGGAGGAATGGACAATCTGCAAGCAAGCAACATAAGATTTCCCTCGGATCCCTTCCTCTGTTCGTTCAACTTCTTCCTCCCTCTCCTGCTTCTCCACCCCCATTCCCTCGCCCATCGCCTTCCATCATGCCCTGCCTCCACTTTCCTCTCTGGTCTATCTTCTCCACCCTCCTTCCTCTCCTCGCCTTTTCGTCATCCATTCCTTGTTTCCTCCTGATTCCTTCTGCCCCTTTCTCCCCAGTCCTGGTCATGCCTTTCTAAGTCGTGTCGTTCCCTGGTTATGTCGTTATTTCGCCACCCGTCCCGAGCATCTTCATCGGGTCCCGCCAGGGCCTCATACAAGGACACGGGCAATACGGGAGACAGCATGTGGCGCATTGTGTGCAGCTGCCTCCTTGGATTGGTTGCTCTCGCAGGTCAAGCCCACGTGTGCTTCAAAGATTGGAGATCGTGTCTCTTTCAGGGCACTCGAATGGTATCCTCGCCCAGGGCCGTAGCCATTGTGCCTCAAGCTGCCCAGGCTCACCTCACGCTGGCGCCAGGCTGCGCCGGCTGAAGGTCGAGGGCGTGCAATACATTACTCCTTCTTGCTTGGCGAATATTTTGAAACGTCCACCCTGTCTCCATGGAGCACCGTAGACTGCTTCTCTCGATTGCTCTGCAGCTGGCTCTCCTGTCTTCCGTTTGCTTCTCCACAAGAGCAGCTCGTGTTGATGCAGGTTCGTTGGCCAACAGCCACGAAATTCATCAACGGATCAACGCAGGCTCGCGCGAAGGGCAATTATTGTCCGGAAGGGAGCGTCTGGCAAATGCGAGCCCAAGCAGGAAGGGCAAGGGCTGCACGCTTACATTCGTAAACAACGCCACCCTGCCGATCAATTTGCTTGCGCTGCCCACGCTGATGACACTCTACGCCAGGACCGAAAACTACATGATGCCTGGGGCAACGTTCTCGTTCTTCCCTGGCATGGGTGCGTACGACATTCACGCAGTCATAACAGACGGCCAGAACAATTGGACAAGCGTCGGGGAAACAACCTGGGGCTTGACCAAGTACGGCACAGGGTACGTCGTTGGTATTGCGGTAGGCGCGGGCGCCGCAGGAACCATTGCGACCACCGCCACGATCTTCGTCACAGGTATCCTTGCCGCTGTCGTGGCCCCACCCGCGTTGCCATTCATTGCTTTTGGGACATTCTGGGGCACAGCTTTCTTTTCGTCCATGACGGTATATGCTTTAACCGACAAGGCGATGGATATTGTCAAATATAAAATTGTAGACGTCGTGAGCAACGAAACTCGTGACGCAAGGGTGTTAAGTGAGCTGCAAGGGATGAGTGATCTGCCCAACAGCCACCCAGATCATCTCTTCCTCTTCGACACAGTTGTGACCGAAGAGCCCGTGAGAGCGGCGTTCGCCCTGTCGTACCCTGGCGTGGACACAAGCCGACTGGTGATTACTCGCCGGCAGGCCGAAATCTATTTTACAAGCATGGTGTCTGACTTCAAAGAGTGGGCCGTCATCAAGGGCTACACTCGAAGCTACCTGATCAAGGGCGGCTTCACACAGCCTGAAAGAGTGCCCGGCACGACTTGGCGCAAGACGGGGTTCGAGCCTTTGGTCATGGGCGAGATCAAACGGGGCACCCCTGGGCTCTGCCAGAAGACGCTGGTGATCGAGTACGCTGGCGGGAACGGCACAGAAGGGGTGGCACGCGTGCAAAGTGATTGGGACAAGGTGCCCGTGGCCGAGAAGTCCGTGCCAGGCGATCGGGCGGACCAGGAGTGCAGGAAGAGGTACGTGGCAATGTGTGAGCGCAGCAGCCTTCGAGTGTACACCGAGTGCCGCCTGAGCGGCCTGAGCTTCAGCGGTGTGGACCTCAGCGGGCCCTCGAAATGACAGGACCGTTTCTTGTACCGCGTTCGTTCTTCAGTCCTGTTGCAGTTTCCGACGCCGACGTTCCCGCCGCCGTTGTTTACCGTCTTCGTTTTTCCTCCGGTGGGGCCTGGCCCGGATCACCATGTTCTGTCGGATCCGAGCCGTTCTCGCGCCGGTTCCGAGCACCCTTTGGATCCCCAGGATTCCCCGGGCCGCTGGGGGGAACAGTGTTTGCACCGTTCCAGTGGGCTGTGTCTTGGGCCTTGCAATGATCAGGAAGCAGTTGTTGGAAAACGTCAAACGGTTCTGCTGTTTCCAGGCCCGCTATAAGGTGTGGACGTAACGGAGCCCGTGTGGGACGAGGTGAAGAAAGAGGACAGGAGTTTGAGCAGTTGGCATTCACGTAGAGTCACGCTTGCGGAAGGCGACAGAGATCTCCGATTCATAACGACCGGGGTGACGTCGAGGTTCGAGGGTGAGTCGGACGACGAACCCTTGGAGGAAATTACGGATTTGACGGCGCTCAGCTTTTACGTGGAGGCGCCTTCGGACAAGTAGATGCCTTCGTCTAAAAGAGATATCCTTTTGGGGGGGGAACCTGTGGGATAATGACCCTCCCCCAAGCCGCCTGCCGCCACTCGCAGGACGCCGTCGGTATTCGTCGGAAGACAGCCTGAGGGCCCTAGAGGCGACCAGGAGGACCCAAGAGTCGACGACAGGACCCCGCGTGAGCCCGAGGAGGCTCCCAGAAGCTTGTAGGATGGCCCAAGAGGCCTCCTCGACAGCCCCAGGAGCCGAAATGTGACCCCAGGACTCTTTCCACATGGCCCAAAGTGGTCCCAGGAACCCTGAAGGATTGTTCCAAGCAGCCTCCAAGAGGGTTCACAAAGATCATCACCACGAATGCTGCCCAAGCAGCATTTGCGCTCAAGGATTCTTCCTTCGCTTCTTGGCCGCTTCACTGAGAGAGTGTGCCCAGGGTCTCGCTTGGTGGGCGCCTCGTTTGCACGCCTTGTTGGCCGGGTGTCGTGGGCGCCTCGTGGGCGCCCCGTGCGCTGGCGGGGTGCTCCGGGCTTTCGCTCGGTGGGCGCACGCGGGCGCAACACAAAACGGAAACCCAGCGACGTTGCAGTACAGTCGGGGCCCTGAGGAAGGAACCCTTTTCGTTGGGGAGGGGCTCGGTGTTCCCTGATGTTTCTGCAGTTTGCCTTCTGTTTTCCTGAGGTTTTTCATGGGACATCGAAGCTCAATTTATCGGAGGAAAGGGCCCCGTTCCTTATTTAGGGTTCCTTAGGTCAACGCCCCGACTGTACCGATGCTACCAGGAGTTCGGCACTTCTGCGCGCGAGCAGCTCCTCGTCATCCTCACCAGCACCATCGTCATCATGATCGCCAGCGCCATCAATGCCACCGTCGTCATCATCATCATCATCATCATCATTTTCATCGTCATCATCATCATCATCACCATCATCATCATCACTATCATCACCATCATCACCATCATCACCATCACCATCAACCATCACCATCACCATCACCATCACCATCATCTCCATCATCATCGTCGTCATTGTCCTCACCGTCGCCATTACATCAGCATGGCCGTGCTTATCGTCGTTGTCGTCGCCATGCTCATCAGCGTCACCTGCCTTATCACCCGCTCGCCCGAGCCACGGATCTGTGTGAGAAGGGCCGTCGTGTCACTGCGCCAGGTTCCAGCATGTTGTGCAGGAGGGTGAGATAGAGCATTGAAGGTGGCGGCTCCAAGCTGTTTGAAACCTCGGTGCGCCCCATCGATTGCACCACGTAGCTTGCGCCACAGGTGACGCACCACGTCTGCGTAGTGCCCTCCCCCCTCCCCCTCCCCCACGAACGGGTGGCCCTGGCGACCACTGTACTGCTTGGGACAGGGGTCCCGACCACCTTCTCTAGGCTTGCTTGGTGGAGTCATCGCCCCATCAATTGGGAAGCTGACAGTTTTAATCATCAGACGTCTGTTCTTGAATACAGTCGGGCCGCTGAAGAGGGAACCCTTTTCGTTTGAGAGGGGCTCTGTGTTCCTTATTTTGTCTACAGTGCTCCTTATTTTTTTTACAGTGTTCCTGGTTTTCCGGAGGTGTTCCATGGAAAATCTGAGTTTTATCTATGGGAAAGAAGGGCCTCGTTCTTTATTTGTCGTTCCTTAGGCCAACGCTCCGACTGTATCTGTAAATATCCACACAGCACATCCAGAGTGATATATACTTCGTTGGGGCCCACGTTGGCCACGATCGCTTCCGACGTGTTTTTTTTGCGCTCGCGGCCGTGTTTCCTGCCCGGAAGCGTGGGCAATTTCTTGATCTTTCCCCTCCTTCTCCTCCTCCCCCTCCTCCTCCCCCTCCTTCTCTTCCTCAACCTTCTCCTCACTCCCTCTTCTCCTCCACGTCATCCTCCATGAGACCGCGCCCTCGCGCGCGCAATGCGAGATTGCCGCGCACGAGGAAGCTCTACGAGTTCCCGGCGGTAGACCCCCGCGATGGCTCCAGCACCCCTGAAAGGCCCCAGGGGGCCCCAAGAGCGATCCCAAGGGCCCCCAGACCTAGGGGTTTCCAAGAGACCCCCAAGAGAGCCCAAGCCCAAGAGGGTCCCAAGACGTTCCCACCCACGATAGCCCCAGAGAGCTCCACGGTACCCTCCAAGAGAGCCCCGAGAGGCCTCCAAGAGGGGACTGGGAACATCCCGAAGCGTCACAAGAGCTGCAGAGTTGCTGTAAAGGCCTGGGATCGGACAGCCTGGGAGCGAATCTTGAGGCTCTCCTTTCTTCCTCCCTACCGCTGTTCGCTTCCACCCTGTTGCCGTCCCCTCTTCTGCAGCTCAAATTCCTTTCTCTTCTGCTCCTGGAGAATATCGGCAACGGGCAGCACGGGGACCTCCCTCCTCCTCCTCCTCCACCTCCTCCTCCTCCTCCTTCTCCTCCTCCTCTTCCTCCACCTCTTAGCATCGCTCGGACGTGTGCGTTTTTTCCCCGGCGACGACCACCGAAGAGCATCCTGGATCATCGAGCAAAAAATAACACACACACACGCACACACGAAACCGACAAACGTACTTGGAATACACGTCCCAGCGACGGCGTACCTTGCATGCTCCACAATATTATGTTCCCCTTCGCACCGCCCTGCATCTTTCCCTCCCGCCTCTGGCATCCCTTGCTCCGCCCCTGCCTCATCGTTATTTCCATCTTGACCTCCCTCTGTCCTTCCCTCCCTCTCTCCCTTCCTCATCTTAGGGGCCTGGGTACGCCCGTTTTGAAACGCATCACGCACCATGCTTCAAGCGTCCGTGCCGCCAAAACGGTGCGTGTTGGCTCAGCGTATTGGCAACGTTTTGGCGAACGTATCGCGTCATGCCTACGTTTTCAGTCTATGTGTTGAGCTCCGTACAATACAGTACGTGTTGCAATCTGCGTATCAGAGCAGCTAAATTCTTCACTCCCCTCTCACTCCCCCCCCCCTCTATCTTTCTTCCTTCTCTCTGTCAACCTCCCCTGTCGGATTCTACAGTAGTGCGGCACGTCATATACGCGTTGCCGCCACAGTAATGGACTCCATACGGGCTCCCAGAGGGCCTTAGGAAAGGGCACGCGGAGAACCAACACGTGGGGCCCCGAGCAGGCTGCAAGGCCACACGATGGGCCCCCGACAGTGTCACGAGAGATCTTAGAAGCGCTTAGGCTCCTCCCCCCCCGTCGTCGTCCTCCTCTTCCTTTGGATTCAAGTTCGGGGGCAGTCTGCGATGGAGCGCGCTCATCTTAATACTTCAGGCATCGCGTGTCGCAAGGTGTTGCGTGCCGCAGCACATATTGCAGCTTGCAACTTCGAAATTACATTGGCATGCATGCGCGATGGGCGCGGCACTTTTGATTTGCGCAGAAGGTTTGCATATGCAGAGTCCACCACGGTCTCACATCGCACCGCATAAACGGCGCATCGTTGCGCATAAGAGGAATTCCCAGCAGACCAGAGAGCATGCAAGAACATGACGATGCACGCCAGATGAGCACATTGTCGTGGACTGATGTTTGGCTCAAGCAGGTGTGGCGCAAGGCGTGCCGATTTACCACGCAGCGTGACTAGACTTCTCGCCAGTCCTCCATGTTGCAGAGCATCCCAGCCAGCTGCCTCGTGGAGGCCCTCTCGTACATCCCGCACAAGTCTCTGCACACCTGTCATGGTTTCGCTTGCTGTGCCCAGGCGTGTAGGTCGCGCTGGCCGGTGGCAACTCGTGCCGTACTGGCACGTGCGGGAGGAGCGACGGAGGGAGTGGCCGACGTTGTCTCTTCATGCTTTGTGCCAGGCCTGTGAGCAGTGGGCGCCCTTGGAAGGCTTCTGCGCTCTGGCGCCCGCGCTCCCCGGGTGGTCTCGCTGCTCCTCGTGCGCGCTGAAGAGGGCTAGGGCTGCCGGCCGGTGTGTTGCGCTTGCCTGCCGCGCGGGCGGATGGGGGAGGGCGCCTCGGCGGCACCCCGCCCTGCGAAGCGACGCCCTTGCAGAAGTAGGGGGGGTCCCCTCTTTCTCGGAGGTGGAAAGGCCTCCTACCTTGACACGTCGATCAGTGAGTTGGCCGTTTTCGGCTCGCGAGAGGGCGTCGCGGCCGTTGTTTTTGCGGGTCCGGGTCCGTCGGTTTCGGTCCCAGGCCGTTTTCTGCTTTCAGGGGAGGTTTGCTACAGGGAGGTCTGTCCGCCGCCGACTTGGCGTGCCAGCTGGGGGGACTGTCGCGGCGATGTGGTGAGCATTCTGCAGGCGCCTTGGCCACCCAGCGCTCGTGCCGCGACCGTGTGTGACCTGCTTCCAGAGGGCATCCTCTCGGGTCGGGCGAAAGGGGGGGATTGGGAAAGGGGGGGGTTACGAAATCTGCTGCATGCAGCTGGTTTCGGCCTCACCGAGGGGCCCATTCCTCGATACATAGGCGCCTCCCCGGGAAAATCAGCTACGTGAGCTGATTCTCAAACCCTCCCTTTGCTATCCCCCCCTTTCGCCCGACCCGATCCTCGTGAGCATCACTGTCGCCGCCCGCTTGCGGGACGACGGGCTGCACATCGTCCGGCAGGGGCCGCTCGCTGCCCACCGCGCGCCGCGGGTCCCGTCAGAACCGGCCGCGGCGCGCCCGAGCGGTTGCAGTAATTAAGGCGGCGGATGGGGATCTCGAGAGGTCCGAGGACGGCCTCGAACTGGGGCCGCTCTGCTCCAGCAGGGAGTGTGCACAGGCCGACAGGCATTCACCAACCAAACGGGCACTCTTAAAGCAGCTATGAGAAAAAAAGGTGCGCGCCGCTGGCCAGGGGGGCCCTCCGAGCTCGTCCCGGAGGGCCTCCGCGGGGAAGGCCTGCCTGCACGATGGCCTTGGCCAGCTTCGCCTTCACCGCGACGACTTTGCAGAGTATGTTGCGCGTGCCGGCGTTGGTTGCCTCCGTCTTGCCCGGGATTTGGACGCCCGAAATGGGCACGGAAAGAATGGGTACGATGCCCAACAGCAGTTCCTGTTCATTTTGAACAGGGCTCGCTGTCCGCGCTGCCGCGGCCTGTGTCCATCTGAGACAGGAGGCCGCCTGCCCAACAGCGGCCGCTGTTGGTTTGGGGCAACATTTGTTGTTCGGCATTGTGCCCATATGTTCCGTACCCATTTCGGGCGTCCAAACGGGAGTGGCTGCCCAGAAGCCGCCCCGGTTTGCACGTCGGAGATCCGTGCCCGGCGCACGTATACGGCAAGTGCCGCACCGAAGTGTTCTGCTCCGTGAGCGTGCCGGGCCCCCTCCCCTGCGCGGCGCCAGGCCGAGGGGCATCCCCAGGAGCCGGCGACGAAAAGCCGGCATGTGGCATAAGCATAAGTTGTTGGCGCTCCGCGCGGATTTCTTGGATCCGCGCAGGGCGTCCCCGGCGGCGCCTCCGGCGCCGCCCCTGGCGCGCTCCGCGCGCCAGGGAGGGGAGGTTTGGCGCAGATTCAAGAAATCGCGCGGGGCGCCAAGAGCTTATGCTTCTGGCGTTTTTCTCTCCTTCTTCTTCTTCCTCTCCTCCTTCTTCTTCTCCTCCTATACGCGGGGCTCACGCCTGCGCAGTTCCAGGCCGAGGGACGTCTCCGGGAGAGGGCTCTCGGGACGTCTCCCGGGGGAGGGTTGTCGGGAGGCCCCAGGCCGGCCAGCCCCCACTCGACCTCACCCGACGCTGTCCTCAAAACAAAAGAAAACGGCATAAGACATCATTTGTCCGAGGTCCGCGCGGGTTTTTTTGGGATCCGCGCTGAGCTCCCCTCCCGTATGCGACGGTGGTAGAAATTCCTCCCGAGAGCGCAGTGTTTCGGTGCTCGCTTGAATGACTGCTCGTTGCCAACAGGCAGGCGAACAGCGGTGTCGTGGATCAGCGGTGGTTGAAGCGGGATTGGTCCGCCGTTGGCTGGAACGGATCGTGCGACCAACTCTCTGCCCAAAGAGTCCCCTCAGAAAAGTAGAGATGTTTGCATGGAAGACATTTTCATTGCGAGCCAAGGAATTTGTGTCGCACGGGCATGTGTCATGCGATTGTATGCCAGATATGAGCGTATTTATCAATCACACCATGCTTGAACACATGCGCGACATGCTTGCCTGCGTCAAAAGTGGAGTCGGTGTGCCTTAACCGGGCGGCTGTTCATGTGCATATTATCTTGATTTTCGAAGCCATACCATGTCGGCAGAGCCCGAGACGGAGAAACGGGGGACGGGGGGGGGGACGAAGCAAGAGGGGAGATGTTGGGATCGATGGTGCGAAGCTCCAAACCCAAGCCGAGCACTGCAGTGTCACGCACAGCCTGCATCTGACAGCCGGTGTCCTGGGACCTGGGAGGATGCGCTGGAGGGGGGAGTTGGTGACAGGGGAACAGCGGGTATCAATGACGGGCGACTGCGAGGCCGATAGGTGTCTGCCGAGCTCGGCGGCTCCTGCGTTGAATCGGGGCATGCTCCTCCTCCTCCTCGTCCATGGGGCGCTCGCTCCTCCTCCTCCTCCTCCTCCTCCTCCTCCTCCTCCTCCTCCTCCTCCTCTGTTCCCTCCCTCCTCATCCTCTGCTCCATCATCTCACCTCCTCGCCGCCCATCCCCCTTTCTATCGTCCGTCTTCGTCCCTCCGGGGGAGCAAAAATTCCACGATTCCGATGCGGATCCGGCCGAGGCGACAGCTGCCGCCCTGGAGTCCCCAGAAGACGAGACGAGGAAGCGGCGTCGGCTTCGGCGTCAGTATCTGTGCGGCTTCCTCCTCTGATATCCGGCCATCCCCCCCCCTTTCAGGGCACCCATTCGGGCTGCCGCACGCCACCCCGTTGGGCTGGCCCGCAAGCCCCCCGGGGGTGGTTCGTCGCAACGGGGCGGACATGACCCGCGGGGCCCCCCTGCAGCACACCACACACGCAGCCGCCCCTCCTCACACTTGGTGCGACTACGCACGGGCGGGCTCTGCCCTTTCGCACGGGCGCTTGCTAGCGCGCCCCGTTGCACCAGCCATCGGCTAGCACAGGGGATCCTGCTGCTCCTCCCTCGTGCCCTCCCCCCTCAATTCTCCTTTGCCCTCATCTTTCTCGTCCTCCTCCCCCCGTCCTGCTACGCCCTCTTCCCTCCTCTCCCCCCTCTCTTTCCCCCCTCGCCCCCCCCGCTGCTCCTACTTCCAACTCCTCCTGCCCCCTCCTCCTCTCCCTTCCTCACCCTTCTCCCTCCATCCCTTCCGCCCCCTCTCCCCTGCTCCTCTGCTCCCTCTCTCCCTGCCGCGCGCAGGCCCCCCAAGCGGGCCGACTCCCCCGAGCCGAGCACCGCCGAAAGCACGAACGTCCCGACGCCGGCGGGGGCGAACGTGCCCGCGCTTCAGCTCCCGTCGCAGGCGTTGGGGGCGAGGGCCTGCCTCTCCTCCTCATCAAGTCCTCCCTCCTATCGTTCTCCTCCTTCTTCCCTCTCCTCCTCCTCCTCCTCCTCCTCCTTCCCTCCTCCTTCTCCTCCTCCTCCTCCGCCTCCTCCTCCTCCTCTCCATTTCCTGCGCCCTCTCCTCCTTCTCCTCCCCCTTCTCCTCCTCCTCCTCCTTCTCCTCCTCCTCCTCCTCCTCCTCCTCGCACTGCTCCTCACTCTCCTCGTCAGCGTCCTTATTCCCCCGTATCCTCCCTGTTCCTAATGATTCCTCCGCCTCCTACTCCTCCTCCTCCTCCTCCTTCTCCTCCTCCTCCTCCTTCTCCTCCTCCTCCCCTCCTCCTCCTCCTCCTCCTCCTCCTCCTCCTCCTCCTCCTCCTCCTCCTCCTCCTCCTCCTCCTCCCCCTCCTCATCCCTCTCCACCTCCCTGGCTCTGAATCTGCAGATATTCTGGTCACTGGGGGTCCTAGGAGATCGGATCCCCAGTGGATCTTTCCAAACCCTGGGCGCGTTGACAAGTGCTGAGCCAGCTGCAATGTGTTGATAACCCCCTCTTTTCTGAGTGTCCACCTTATTCGTCCGCCCCAAGAGGGGGGAGACCAAAGGAGGAGGTCATGTCGGGTTGTGTTTGTGTTTTGTTCGTGTGAGTAGGGGGGGAGCTAAGCGCCCGTGAACCCCGAGCGCCCGTTAAAGGTGCCCGAGCGCCCCAAGCCAAGCCGAGCCAAGCTATCCGCAGCTCGCGGGTGCTGCTCAATCCACAGGGCCCGTGAAAGGCGACCTTTCCTACCGAGACCCACCAGGCACAGACCCTCGAAAACCCCGCCGGCAGCAGCACTGACCCCCACCCGCCTCGGCGGCAGCAGCGCCCTCTCGTCCGACTCCCGCCGGCCTCCGCGGGCACAGCCTCCCGGAGAGGGCGGCGCCCTAAAGAGGCCCCGGGAGAGGCGAGGCCCCCTTCGGGGTGCCCCGCCGCAGCCGTGCCGCACGGAGCGCACCCGCTTTGTCCCTCAAAAGCTTGGCATCGCTCGGACGTGTGCATTTTTCCTTCGGCGAGGACCATCGAGGAGCATCCCTGATCATGTGGCGAAAAAACCACGCACGAAACCGAAAGAAACACAGGGAATGGACGTCCGAGCGATGGCGAGTAAGTTCCGGTGTCCCGCGGCCGGCTTTGGCGCGCGGGCGGGCAGCGGAGGCCCCTCGGGAGCGGCAGCGCTCGGCCCCCTCGGCGCCTCCCGATGGGCGGGGCCGGCCTGGATCTCGGAGGGCGCGAGCAGTCCACCACAGACAGAGGTGGCCCTGACAGCGAGATTTGAGGCTTGGCCGCGACACGAGACGATCTGCGTGGTGCCGTCTGCGCGGTCCCGTGGTGCACGGTGTTTGCTGCGCGGCGTTTTCAGCGCGGTGTTGCCTACGAAGTGTTTGATGCGCAGTGTTTTCTGCGCATGGTGGTCTGCGCGTTGTGTAAAACGTGTTGTGTCCTACACGGTGTTCTCTACGCGGCGTGTTCTACGCGGTTTGTTCTACGCGCTTTTGTTTCTACGCGGTGTGTTCCACGCGGTGAATTCCACGCGGTGTGCTCTACGCGCGGTGTGTTCTGCGCGGTAAGAGTTGGGTGCTCCAGTATTCTCTAACTTATACCTTTGATGAAGCCCCAGCGTAAGCGGGAATTCATGCTTTTGTGCTGAAATCAAGTGCGCTGGATTGTTTTCCTGGTTGAGCCGCGGTGTGTGTTCTGCAAGGTGTGTGTGTGTGTGTTCTACGTGGTGTGTTCTGCGTGGTGTGCGATTTGCTTGGTGCCCGCTGTGCGTGGTGTGTGTGTGTGTGTGTTCTGCGTGGTGTGTGTTCTGCGTGATTTGTTTTCTACGCTGTTTTTTCTACGTGCTGTGCGTTTATGCCTACAGTGATTCGGTCGAGAACAGCTGTTCTGACAAAGGCTGACCCTTCGTCGCGAACAGCATTCTTGTTCCGCCTGGGAGCCCGCACGAGTCTCTGTCACAGTCTGCATTATGAAGTCTGCGTGCGACGTTCCCGCATCATGGTGTTTCATTTGTCAGGGCAAAGCCCAGCATCGCTCGCCGTCCTCCGCCGTCGCCGTCACCGCCGTCATCGCCGCCGCCGCCGCCCCTTCGGGCCCATGAGGCCATGCTCCTCCTCCTCCTCCTCCTCCTCCTCCTCGATTCTCAATGGTACTGACCCTTTTTGGAGACGTCTTTATTTTCGCGCTGTCACCTGAGCCGGCAGGTCGGCAGCGGACGAGGCTCCCCTCACCCCGCCCCCCTTGTGGGCACGGCTGCCTTCCTCGGGCGCATTCGTCTGAGCAGCGCTTGGCAGCGATTGCCATTAACTGGTGGCCTCTTTGGGAGACTGCTTCAATTTTCAGGGCGGCCTGGGCAGCTTCCAGCCAGAGCGAGCACGGCATGCTTGTTACGCCTGCAGACTTTTCGATCCGAGCGCACACGATGCATTTGGTGTGGAGCCCCGCTCGGCGCTAGATATTGACATGCCATGAGTTTCCCTGAGCGACGGGTCGCAAAAACATGCTTTCCGTGATTCTATCAGGTTGACGGTGCGCGTCTGAATTTGCGATTGAACACGCTTTGCGGGGCAAGTTACCGATAATAATGCCCCCCCCCGCCTGAAGTAAGAGGAAGAGTGGGCAGAGGAAACGCAGGAGGAGGAGGAGGAGGACGAGGAGGAGGAGGAGGAGGAGGACGAGAGAGGAGGAGAGGAGGAGGAGGGGGAGGGGGAGGGGGAGGAAGAGGAGGTAGAGGAAGAGGAGGAGGAGGAAGAGGGACCGTAGCCATTTTGGCTCAAACCATTTTGGCTTAAGTACGAAGCCGTGCCCTGCGCTTTCGTGCTTGTCTGCAGCCGACGGGCTGGCTCGAGGCGAGCTGCCCCCAGAATCTGCAAGTTTTTCCCGCACGACCCCCACGGCGAGCCCTTGTGCGGTCGGGGGTTTTTGGCTGGTCTCTTCCATTCCTTCATGCCTCGCTGGCAATGCGGCGGCGTTCAGAACGCCGCCGCTCTGGGATGGTGCAAAAGTTGTGGCATGCACTGGCGACAGTCGTGGCGTGGCCGTAGTCCGAGACATGGTCATTCCCCTCGTCGTTCAGTGTCCCTTCGCGGTCGTCGAGAGAAGGATGTTGCACCATGGGCGACCGCAGCCAGGTTTAATGCATATTTCCCGCCATATGTGAGAATGGCCACTCCGTCGGAGGCCGTGTTGTCAGATCATTTCAAGCCACTTGCCCCTGGCGCATCGGGGGGCACTCGCAAGCAGTTGTTGAAAGACTTGCGGGCCCGCACCGCGCAGTTGGAGACGCCATTCAAGCTATTACAATCACAGGATATCAACACGTCGGAGTGTGCTCATCAGCCCTCAGTGTCAAGAGGATGCCTGATCGCCAATCCTCCCTCCGAGACGCATCTGGCCATGGTCGACGGCAGCATCGAACGGGCGAAGCAGCGCGTCGAGTCAGCTCAGAAGTCGTGGGAGGCAAAGCAGAAGGAGGCGGACGCGCTCAAGGTCAGTTACGACAGACTACTGGATCAAGCGAAGGCTCTCAAGAGGACCCGTTCGGGGTTGATGGAGGCCATCGAGGACGAGAACGTTGCCGAGCGGGAGGGCGATTCTGCCGACATGGACGCAGCGTTCAACCTTTATGGGGAGCCGCCGGGCGCGGAGCAGGCGGGGGTGTCGGCGCCGTTGCCCAAGGCCGCGGCTGCGGTGTCGGCGGGGGCGACCTCGGCGATCAAGCAGCTGCCACCGCCCCCGCCGCCCGCAGCGTCAGCTGCGCCTATGGGCGACCCTCCGCCGCCGCGCCCCACGCCGCCGCCGCCATGGCCCGCGCCACCGACGCCGCCTTGTGTTGGGAAGGGGGATGGCACACCACGGGTCGCCCCAAGGTCGCCCAATGTTCAAGCCGATGTTCAGAGGCAGTCGGCTCCCGCCCAGAAGGAGATGCAGGCCATGGCTTTCTGTATGCAGCAGATGATGGAGCATTTCGAGTGTGTGCAGTCGGCCCAGCCGTCTCTCCATCGCCGCTATCGGTCAAGACAGCGCCACTTGCAACCACAGAGGTCGCCGATTCCGATGGCAGGTCGGTCGCCGGCATGAGATCGCCTTCCTTTGACAAGGCAAGGTCGCGCAGCGAGGACCGACTCAGCACGCGCGGGCGCACAGTGGAAGTCACGTCCGTCAACCCACGCACGTCGAGGTCGAGAGCGCCGCCTATGTCATCAGAGGAGCGCATTCAAGCCATGGCGCAGTCCGGCCTGAACACAGCCTCGCAGGACGACGCGGCCATTTGACCCGCACCACGTCTACCCCATCTTCGGCAGCGGACTGGTGCTGGACACCGCGGTCTGCTGGAGTTGTATTACCCCGTCGTCGTCTGCCACGTGGGTGAGTTCTTGGTCGGGCACCTGAGCGCGCGCCGCATTAGCAGCGAGCCGCGGGCGCCACGACGCCGACCCAGCAGGTGGCTCACAGGTCAGGTGACTCAAGGTTTCGCACCGCCTTCGTGGCCGAATGCTCTGACAACCATTGCTTTGCAAGTTGCGCTGGGACCCCTGAGAGTGGCCACTTTCCCCCTTTCGGCCTCGCTCGCGCCCCGCCCCCCCCCCCGTTTTGGCCCGTGGCCCTCGGGGGGGCCCATTTTCTAGACTTGAAGAGGGCTCGGCTGGCATGGAGCCAGCTCTCAGTGCCGAAGGTGCGTGCGAGGTTTCCAGCTCGATGGGCTGCTCTGGGACCATTGGGGGCGCCCCTGCCCTGGCCCCTCCTCCGCTCGGATCTCCGCCCCCTCTTCTTCCCGAGGGGCTCCCGACCGATCCCGATCTGATTCCTGACCCCTTGCCTTATCCGGCTTGGTTGGGGGGAGCTTGGAAGCCTGGGGTCTTCGAACATCCAGGAGCGGTGTTTGAAGCTGTGCGCCGCGATCGCTTGGGGAAACCGTCTCACGCGCACCATGCCGAAGA